GAGAGAGAGAGAGAGAGAGAGAGAGAGAGAGAGAGAGAGAGAGAGAGAGAGAGAGAGAGAGAGAGAGAGAGAAAAAGAAAGAAAGAAAGAAAGAAAGAAATCATAGAATCATCATAGAATCATTGAACATCACTGAACACAGATTATTGAACCTTGGCTGAGAGGTCCCTGACCTGCATGACAGTGTTATTGATAGAATGAAAGGCAGTTGCCAAAAGGATAGGCTTGCTCAGGTTAGGTTGTTCATTATCCAGTGGCTACTAGCTAGTCTTCAGTTACTCCTCCTCCTCCTCCTCCTCCTCCTCATCATCATCATCATCATCATCATCATCATCATCATCACGATCACCATTTTGAGGTGATTCCAACGCTGTCCAAGATTCATTATCACCCTCATTATCGCCATGCTCCACAATCGTCTGAGTCCAACTATTCAGACCACCATTATCCCCATCCTCCTCCTCCTCCTCATCATGGTTGTGATTGCCATTTTGAGGTGATTCCAATGATGCCAACGATTCATTATCACCATCATTATCGCCATACCCAGACTTCAGATTCCAACGATTCATATTACCATTATTGTCATCCTCATCCGCATCATTGAAATCATCATTATCATCATCGGCGTCATTATCACCCCTAAGTTGTGACTGTCATTCCGTCTAATCCTCAAATCAACATCATTCACTCTCAATACCTCACCAACACCATTTTGAGGCCGACGGCACTGCCCTATCACACAGACCCATCTTAGTTCACACCCACAGTTCAAGCACTGCACGTTTAACTCCATAGGAAACCCGTGGTTGTTTCGTCAAAGCAACCTTAATCTGCCAGAGCTTCCTCGTTATCACTGACTCTCACATTCCTTCTTGCAGCCACCGCTTAATCATTATCCCCCTCGCTAACTTCTTATTTCCCCAAATTTTTGCCACCACCAGCACTTCCTTTTCCAAACTCTCCCTACCAGCTGACCACTTGCTCACTCTCGCGGCACTGACTCTCACGTTCGAGTTAAGATTTCGTCGTTCAAGATCCTGTCCAGGAGGCTTCCGGAATGCTCCGGGCTCGTACACTCCCTCAGGCCCTCGTCGTTGTCACTAAGGCTTGAATTGTCAACCTTCGGAAAAGACTTGGGCTTCAGCTTCAACCGTCGTTCCTTGAAGTTCACCTCTCGTGCAGTCAGCCACGAGGGGAAGGTCCGTATGCAGATTTTTCCTATTCAGGTGTTTTCTTGCAGCCACCGTCTACCACAGTCTGTATTACACAATTGCTCCCATGTGTCCTTAATCCCATCTTGGAAATAGACCCGCCCTTCCAAGAAAAGACAAAAGAATCTTCTTCCCTTGCAGTTGGAGGCGTAAATCACACGGCTGTTGATCCTTCTCGCCCTACAGTTGGATAATAAATGCTCCATTGTTCGTTTCCAGAGGCGTGCAGTTTTCAATCCTACTCCCTTCCACCCACTACAGGACAACGAGGAGCGATCTCACAATTTCCCACTTTTTTTATTTATTTATTTATTTATTTTTAACCACTCCGAAACACTGAAAATGCTTTCGTGGATCTTCCCATCTCAATGGTCGGATAGTGCTACAATCTCCACATCTCTCACAAAACAGAAACCCATCACCATTCAGTGAACTGTGTAACCTCTACTATAAATCTATGGAAACATTAAGTCACTTTCCGAAACCCTAGGTCTGCTTCCGTGGATCTTCCCGTCTCAACAGTGGGATGGTGCTACAAGCTCTATATCCTTCACAAAAGAGAAACTCATCATCATTCAGTGAAACTTGTAGCCTCTACTGTACAATCTGTACATCTTCCCATCCCAACGATCGGATAGTGCTACAAGCTCTACCTCCCTCACAAAACAGAAACCCATTACCATTCAGTGAATCGTGTAACCTGTATTGTACAACTCTCAGTGTTCCATGGGACGGGCACCTGATTACAGCGTCTTCAGTTCCAAATGCTCCGATTGTTTGATGTTTTCGACTGACCCCAACCTGTTTCCTCCAACCCTGAAAACCTATCACCATCCATACCACAAGCTAGGACAAATCAGCCACTGTTGCTTCGTCCTCATGCAGGACTGACCATTGTGTGGCACACCTCCCCCTCGTTGCGCGCGCCGGGGTATGGCGCTTGATTCCGCGCTATGAGAAGAAACCCTAAACTCTAGTGCTAGCGCGTCGCGAGACCTAAGCGCCACGACACCACCTCTCGTTTCGTCCTTAGTCATGGCTTATTTGGGCCTGTGCGGCACTGTAAGAAAAGGAAGAAAAGTAATTTTGAAGACTCAAAAAAAAAAAAATGGCGACGTTACATTTCCCAGGATGGGAAGGAGGCCGACTTTTGAAAGTGTTGTCATCCCACTAACCCTCGCGTCTCCTCCCCCTGCTCCCCGCCCAGCCAATGCGTAATTAGGACAGAGATTGAGAGAAAATCGAAGTATTGGATGGGGTTAACAATTGACCAGGAAAAAGAAGGGGGTCAAAACCATGCCCTTCGAGTACTTGATTTTTTTTAATCTTTTGAAGAGCTGCCAATCAAAATGAGTCTTTCTATTTTCTTTTCCCGCCTCCCATTCTTAGGAACTGGAAAAAAAAAA